CATTTTTTCGCTTATTTTCGTCAAAAATACCCTCTAGCGCCTCAACGGTTTGAGCTAGAGCAAAACGGACGAAATTTTCGCCCATAGGGCTCTACTTTGATGAGTTACCCCTTAGAAAACCATAAAAAAAATATTTTTAAAAACGTCATTTTTGGGACCTGTTGTTTTTGATTTTTTAAAAATCCAGTTTTTGAGCTAGAATGCTCATCTTCGAACTCGACCTGTCTTTTTATGGTCCAAAACGACCCTGAAAATCCCAGGTCGCTAGCTCAACTCGTTTTCGAGTTATCGTGCGGACAGACAGACAGACGTGCAGACAGACAGACAGACAAAGTTTTTTTCGACCAGACGGAGTAATAGGCTTCGCTAATCGCTCAGCCAATAATTGCCCAAAGCGTAACAAACGTTAGATAGAACAATAAAATATTGAATTTAGAACACCTTCTTAGATTTCAGGAGTACAACACTGTTGTCCTGCCTTTTGAATTTCTGATAATTACTGGAATGAAACATTTCAGAATTAACCAAAGATCTCTCATAAACAGGGTATTCTTCATTTCTGTTAAACACAACATTTGATCTCACAAGGGCATGCCTAACTGCTTCACTTAAAGTAATATTCTTAGGTTCACCTAATAAAGCAACCGATCCAAGAGTGAGATGGGGCTCAGCAAGAATTCTACTGCTTGTCATAACACTTGTTGGCTGAGCGATTAGCGAAGCCCATAACTCCACTGACCAGAAAAGTTTCATTCTGTTTGTCTGTCTGTTTGTTTGTTTGTCTGTCTGTCTGTCCGCACGATAACTCAAGAAAGAATTGATAGAGCGATCTGGGAATTTCAGGGTCGTTTTGTATCATAAAATGACAGATCGAGTTCGAAGATGAGCATTCTAGCTCAAAAATTGACTTTTTAGAAAATCAAAAACCCACAGAAGGCAAAATCTATTTTTTACCGAATATTTTTTCAGGGGTTCCTAACGGGTAACTCGTAAAAGTAGATTCCTTTGGACGAAAATTTCGTCCGTTTTGCTTTATCTCGTACCGTTTAGACGCTAGGAGGCATTTCTTGGCAAAAGTAAGGTGAAAACGACTAAATGGTCTATTAAGGGGACACTATGGTGAAATTTGGAAGTCCGGGAGCCTATGTTTCTGAATATTTTCCTTTTTAATTTCTTCAAGCATATACAAAATAGGACCTTCTCCAAGCTTTCCCAGAATTTTAGGAGCCACCCAAAGCTCTGAAAATCTTTAAGTGTGTTAAAACAGGCCTATCTTTGAAAAGTTCCATGCGCAAACTGGGTTGAGTTATATTGCCAAATCTCATGTTAAAATGTTCTATTATACACTAATATTAAAACCCGGCATGGATATCAAAATCAAACAACAGGTGTGTCCTCAGTACATTTTCCAATAGGAAGCCCATGAAAACTCTGCAGGAGTTAGTACCTTTGGCGTGTGTGGGTGGCTTAGACATCTTCGTTGTTGTTGACAATGCCGGCAAATTAAGTTGAATACCTAACCATTAAATGCATATAAGCCCCAAAGTTTCATCTCTAATAGGTTTGCGCAGGGAATCTTTCAAAAACTGCGATTTTTAGACCAAAAATGTCCCCATTTTTTTCACCATAGTGTCCCCTTAAGTCGCAAGAGAGGCCTTATATTGAAAAATTGTGCAGGAAGTAATACTTAGGGCGCGTTCGGATAAGGAAAGTCGGGTGGCGAGGCGGACGGGCGGGCGGGTGGTCGAGGGAGCGGCTCCGGGCGCCGAGCGTAGATGCGCCGAAAATCTACTGCCATACCTCCTAATTAACTCGAAAATAGATAAACAC